CAGGGGAGGCAGAGAATGGTATGACATCTGCAGTAAAGGTTGGGATGGTTGGGCAGATGGAGATAGATGGGGAGTGGCATGGGAACGTTCAACTGGTGGAGATGAACAAAGTGAGGCAGGAAGTAATCAGGCCAGGAAGACTAGAAGTAACTTTTGGGAGAAGCAGAGGTGTGTAGACACATGGTTGAGGGTTAGAGAGTGTGGTATGAGATGTGGTTTTGGAAGGGTATAAGGTCATAAAACACTGCCCAGTTAGTGCTCCCTGAAATATGATGGGGATGTTGAGCATGGACTACAATGTAGGAAGACTACGGGATTGGAGTAGATGGAATGGGTCAGGATGTAGGTCAAGGATCTAGAGAGATATTTTTCAACAAGTGACTGCTTTATTATTCCCTGCTTTAATTCATTATGTCCTTGTCCTAGCTGTAAGCATTGCCTCTTCTCTGTGCCTGCTCTTGGATTCTGGGTTTCTGACCTTTCCTAGAACATCAAGCGTATAGTCCTTAGTGAGGATGAGATGAACTGCTGTAGATCTGGAGGCCCTTCCCCTAGGGCCAGCTTTGCTGTGATTCCCAGGAGGCTGCTTATTGACTGCTTCCCGTTTCCCCTGCCTCCGAACAGGGACCAGGGCATTCTTTCTAGCTTTAAGAGTTCTGGGCCAGAAAGAACAACTGGGTGACAACAAGAACCACCATTCAACTTAAGCCTCTTGCCCTTTGCCCAGTTTCTCAAGCCCCTTGCTTTTAGTGCCCATTGTCTCCAGTGTTAGCCCGAGAGTACTCCTGCCCTTTGCCCAGTACTTCAAGCCCCTTGCTTTTAGTGCCCATTGTCTCCAGTGTTAGCCCGAGAGTCCTGCTTGGCAGAGAAGCTGTGGCAGGTGGGAGGAGAGAAGGCAGTGAGGCAGAAACAGCTGCCAGCCGGAGTGGAGGAAGAGCAGAGCCCCAGTGGGTTTGGGCAGAAGGCAAGGTGCTGGCTTTGGCAGCCCCCATCATCTCCCTCTGTGGGGGTGTTGAAGCCAAACCTTCCTCCTTAGCCTCTCCTATCCAATGCTACTGATGAGGGAGCAGGATCTGCTCTAATGTCTTATCTCTGGACTGAAGCAGATCCCTGAGGTTACCTGATACAATTCCTTCCTCCACGACAATACAGCCCTAGAGTCATCTCCACGGCATTTTCACCCAGCAGTCCACTTGTATTAGTCCAGATACTTCCTGGGGACAGGAGCTCTAAGGCAGTCTGTTCTTTCTTTGCAACAAAAACCAGAAAGGAGAGCCTCTGATGTGATAAGACTAAATGCTGTTACAGACTTCTCATTAAAATGGAACTTGTGGGGCTTTTCTGATGAATGAGCCCCATTTGACAGACAAAAAAAGTGAGGACCAGAGACTTGAGGTTCATAGGTTCAATGTTACACTTCTAAGAAGTGAAATATAGGTTGGGATGCAGGACTTTCTGTGAAGTCTCTTGGGGCCAATCAAGATATGCAGCTTTTATACAAGGACAATCCTTTTGAGATGAGAAATCTGAGGCCATATTTTCCCGAGTCCCCTCTTCTCCAAGTCAAACTCCTTTAACTGTCTCGAGGGAATTCAGGTTCTAGCCTCCTTCTCAACCTCATTAGTTGATACATCCCAGTATCAAACATGCAGGCTGTCAGGTGGGTGTCAGTCTGGAGTGGATCTGCACTATCTCCTCCTTCCTCAACTAGCTGATTAGTGCAGCTAATGGCTGCCAAAAGAGCTGACGCTGTCCCTCCTCTTGGGCCTCTCGGCCTTCTTTAGAGGAATAGCTGTGAGAAAAGAAGCCAGAGTTTGCTCCCATGCCCTCATTCTCCTCACTCACCCTGAGTGTTCTGAATTGAGAGGAGGAAAGACACAGAAGTGGGAGAGGCAATCAGCAGCAGGCAGGGGCATGGCAAGATTAGGAGGATGAAGATCTGGGAGGGGATTTGTATGGTAACTCTTGGCAAGGCCAAGGGAGTGATAGAGTGTGTATGTGTGGAGTAGGGGATTCATGGGGAATTGAGGAAGGCCCTCGGACCTAGGAGAGGCCAGTATGGGGATGGGCATTGGCCCGGGTTAGCCTCATCTCTCTGCTGTGCGAGAGGAAGTCAGTCGCACATTAAGGAAATGTTGCAGTTGGTACTAAATTGGGAGGTGTCACAGGCAGCAGTGAGGACAGGTATGATTCGTGGGGCCCTGTGTGTCCCAAAACAGGGGCAGACATCTCAGAGGCAGAGAATGGGGTTTCTAGAGCCACACAGGAAGAATCTGACAGAGGAACTTAGAACAAGGGCCCTGGGGATAGGGGGGTCACCTGACTCAAGAACCAGTCTCCAGACTTGGTTTACAGACATGGGAGAAACCTCCTCATCCTCCTAGGACTTCAGACTCTCACTTATGAGGATTCTGGGTGTGGGGCATTATCTCCATGGGATCCCAACTGAGGTGTGGGCTGACAAGAAGGGCTCTGAGCTTAGGGGAAGGCTTAGTATGGGTGAAGAAGGCCTGTGAGAAAGTGGGGTGAGTGACCCAGGAAACGGGGCTTCAAGAAGGGGATCAGAGCTGCCTTTCTCTTTCATGTCATCAGAAAATTGGATTAAAGACTATAGGTTTGGGCCTCAGCTGAAGGAGAAAGCTTTGGAAGAGGTAGAAAACACAGAGGAACCAAGGAGCTGCCACAGCCCTGCTGCCAGCATAAGACAGTAAGAGCAAGAGAGCTCACTTGCTGCTGGAGATGAGGCAACAGGAGCAAGGGCCTGAGGCCTTGGCAAAAGCAAGGGATTAGCATGAGGACAAGGAGCTAGAGTACTGGAATTCCTGCTCACTGTTGAGGGCAAAATGTATGATTCCTGTGTATCTCAGTTTCCTCATCTGTAAATGGAGGTAATCTAGGCAGTGGTACTCTCATAACATACATAAGTGACTGAGACTCCTAAATTACATCTATGCCAGATGTTAAATTCTTACTATAAAATGCTACTAGCCATGCATTTCCATTTAAATCTCACAAAACCCTCAGGACTTGGGCCAGGAAAGGATATTTTCCTCTTTTACAAACGAGGAAATGAAAGATTAGAGGAAGTAAAGTAACGTGCCCAAGAGCAAACTGCTAACCAGTCCTCGACAGAAGTGATGAGACCTCTACAATGAGGAAGAACCACCACCTTCTCGTACATAAAACTGCTTTGTATCAGCAACCAGAGGGACTTTAATTTAGTGTGAAGTCAGAAGGAGCTTGGATCCAACTATAACATGGAGAAAACCCCATAGAAAAGTTGTGCCATGGTTTTCATTCATTCTGGAGATCGAAACAGAACCTTTGTGGCTATAAGCTTGGAAAGATATGGATATTCTTTATTCTGTCTGCTAGGGAACAATGCCTCTTTGAGACGATAGGCTTGGAAAGATATGGATATTCTTTATTCTGTCTGCTAGGGAACAATGCCTCTCTGCTCTCACTGAGGGTATGTCTGTGGCAGGCAATTGGAGTATGTGTCTGTAGCCCTGCATGACAAAAATGTGTCTTTCTTCATGTGACTGTATGCATGTCTCTGACAACACAGGGAGATGTATGTGACATGGTACCTGCTTCTTCAGCACTGTTTATGAAAGTGACAACCTCTCTGTTTCTCTGTATGACTTTGTCTGGAGTAGTGCTGGTGGTGCATGGCTGTATATGTTTGTCTATCTGTCTGTACACCTTTAAGAAGTGGAACATCTCATTTGGTAGTGTGAGTGAGGCAGTGAGTCAGCTGAGACTGAGCGAGGCGGGAGGAGACTGCTAGGTTACGAGAATAGGAAAAGGGAGAAGGAGAAAGTGAAGTCAGGATCAAGGAGCTACTCCTTCCCTCCCCAGTCCTCCACCCCAAACCCCTAAGGGGCCCACAGAGAACAGCAGAACCTTGCAGAAGTCCACAGGAGCGATGCTTGCCGGAAATGCTTGCTACCCCTTCTCAAAGCCTTGAAGGGAGATGATCCTAGCCTAGGAGGGAACTGCCTTACCTCCAGCTGGTGACCCCCAGCTCCAGGATGTGTGAGACCCACTTGGTCTCATTGTCACTTGACCCTTTTGACCTTGCTGTTCTCTTTCTTCCCCAAAGCAGGCCACCTGGCCAGGCAGGGAAAACAGGGAAGCAGCTTCAGGCCCCAAATGTGCATAGTCCCACCTACCTACTATACAGAAAAACCCGACCGAGGGGCAAGAAATTTCTCAACATCCAGTTCTTCCCCAGGAAGGTCCCTTCTGCAGTTATCTACCCTCTGGTTTCCTCTGGATGCTCATCCCTAGCAGCCAGAAAGCCAGATTTTCCTGTCACCACCCAGGAGCACTAGGAGTTTTGTGATGCACCATCCTTCCATGGCCCTTCCACAAGCTGACGATAAGCTCTATTCCCCCAGCATTCTCTCATCAGAAGACAGAAGCCTACAGGTTCCCGGTTAAGAGAAGACAGGCATGCCTGGGCTCCCCTGCCTAGGATCTGGCCAGACATCTCAGGTCATATAAGGTCAACAGCGTGTTATACCCTGTCACCAGGCATGGCCTGGCTTCTCATCCACTGGCAGGAACCAAAGGGTGAGGATTATGTAGTCAAATATTCTTCCTCCTGGTGAACACCCCGCTCCTCCGCAGCCTGTCCCAGGGTTAATGCTAGTCCAGGAGTGGGGTTCTGGCCAACCAGGGTGTTGGAGACTGGGGAGCACAATCTCTCTCGCTACCACTTTGCTAGTCCAGGGCCCCGATCCCGCCCCATGCAGGAAGCCATGCACCAGGAAGCTCCAGCCTTAAAATGTTCAAACCTTAAATTCAAATAAGTTGCCCCGAATCCCTGCGGGTTCCTCTCTAGGGTGGGGTTCGGGGTGACACTTAACAGAGCTACACTGGGAATGGTTGGAGTGGTGTATAGAGAGGGAGACCTTTATTTTTTTCCTGGTCCCGCTGCCACAGAAGCTGCCTCTGGCCAGGCAGCTATTGTGGCATGGGTCGCCAATCCCTACCTTGCAGCCTTTCGTGCAGGACCGGATAGAGTACTCTTCTGCCTGCAAGTATTTATGCAGCACGAGGTCGAACTCGTCATATTTTTCCTGAGCATGTCGGTCCAGTCGCTGGTACGCCTCTATGCAGTTGCTACATGCCTCCCAGGTCCCGGAGCCTGGGCTGGCCACTACAGCCAGCAGGTCCCCCAGCAGGGTGTCCAGACTGCAGTCCAGGCTGTCTGGGCGGTCCATGCCAAGCAGCAAGTCCCAGACCGTGTAGGTGTCGCAAAAGGAGAGAGTGAAGTTCCGAAAGTGGCCTTTGAGCAAGTTTTTTTTGGCGGAGGGGAACTCGGCTGGGGGGCTGGAAGGGGAG